GACGCTTCTCGTATATATTTGACAACACTTCTTCAACGCAGTCACAGATTCTCCCTCACTCACACGTTTGAAGAGCATGGTAAATTTATCAATTCAAAGTTACTAAATTTCAGTGCCCCCTAATTTAAATCAACATGACTGGGTATCCGTGTAGACATACTTTTCGATCAATGTCAATGATCTGACCCCCCTCCCCCCAAAAAATGCAGCGAACATCCCATACGCCTCAGACAACTCCTATGCTCTACCAATGCCGAAGATATAGGAAAATTTAATGACCCCTTATCTCATCGCGCCGCAAAGCCTACGGAAGTAATTTGGATTTGCTTTCTTTCTCCATGCCCTCTCCCACCTCATTATCTCTACCTCTTATACTTTTTCGCAATTTAATCCATAGAGTTGAACGTGCCAAAGCCATTGAAATCAACATTACAGCAGCCCAAATGAAAGGAAAGACTCTCATTGCTGTCAAATACTCTTCCGGAATACGGAGAAGCGTAGGAGAAGAGAGACGATACATCTCGAGGATTTCCGTTGAATCTAATTCATTTCCATCTTTGTCTAAAGCAATGGCTTGATAGAAAGCAGAAGAATTGGATGGTCGAACTCCAGTTTCGAATCCAGTCTTAGGCATGGTGAGAAGATGATGCATAGTTGTCGGAGAACTTCCTCCGTACTATAGAGATTTGTTAGTCCTAAGGGATGAAGGCTATACAAAAACAAGGTACTTACTAAAGCCCAGGAATCAACCTCGGTAGCTCCATTCCAACTGACATATAAAATTTGCCCAACTTCAACCATGACTGGCTTCCATGAGGGCTGGGCAACCCAATCAAATTTATACACGCGGTACAAGTCCGTACCTCTACCAGAGGCGACATACCAGGGCCTGGTCTGAATTTCCATGGCGACTTCACCCGTCTCTGTGAATTCAGCAAAACTAGGAACAACTCCATATCCAATTAAGTAATTCCCATTATCCAATGCGTGAATGCCACCCTCAGCCCATGCCTGTACACTTTTCGGATGATAGAATTGATGTACAAGCTTCGCCGTCATGTTGTGATAATTAAGCTTGATCTTCATACCCCGAGAACAATCCGTTGTGCAATTGGGCGTCGGCGAATTTATGTACATGTTGTGGTTATCAAAAAATGTAATTTCTGTCAGGTCATCATTGACGAATCGTGCATGATGTTGGAATGCGAAATTCGTGGCGTTTCCATCACTCAAATCCGTAAAATCATTGTTGTGTCCACCAACCTGCCATATTTTACTTCCATCGGTTCCATTGATATATGCTATCATTCTTAAATGACGACTTGAAATCAAGTAATGCCCCTCTCGGGTTTTCTGTAGACTGTTCATGTGAAACCAATCCCATCCCCACTCCTCGTCGACATAGGTTGTGAAGGATTCGTTTAAGCCGAAGTGATCAAGTGCGTTCCAGGTGTGTCGTACCCACCCCGTCTCGATATCAACCTCTTGAAATGACCCTGTCAAGACTTTCCCACCATTGGGACCGCCTACTGGTCTACAATCGGCAATAGTAGTATGGTAGTTATTCATCATCGCCCCTCCATCTTCCGTCAATTGGAACTCATGACCATCCGCACCTCCAGCTAATGAATTCACACTGATGTTGTAGACTTTGTCATACGAGCTATTCAGCATCACCCCTCCACCAGAACCATGGCCTTGAAAGTCGATACCAGACCAAAAGGTTAAGTACGGCTTTCCGTTGTAGAATTGTAACTTGGTATCTGAACCACCATGCCATGTAGGATCAGCGTAAACTAGACTTAAATCTTTGCTAGAAAATATCATGGGTGATTTCTCTTCTCCATCCAATGTAGGCGACATGAAAATATGAGAATGATTGCTGATAGCACTCTCGTTCCATTTATTGACGAGAAAGAGGGGTGATGTCAAATCGGATGAATGATAATGCTGTTTTGGCCAATCACCATATCCTCCAATATTAAAGGTATCATAGTTTTCACTTGTGATCAAACCAGCATCTGCTCGAACTTGATAATGAGGGGTATTGCTTAGAAGAAATAATAATGTCGTCACACTGATAGCGATGTTGAATCCCATGATAGAATACATATTTGTTGATCGATCATGAGTCTCGAACATAAAAGAACGATGGTGACATCGGAAAGAAAAGTTTCGTGATTTTGAAATCAGATTTGGGGAATCAAACTCGAATAGTTTTCTATAATCTACAGAAACGATTAACAAACATGTAATTAACCTCCCTGAGCCTCCATAGAAAATTCCCCAGAACGCGTAGGTCCATGATTGATACCCGCCCCTGTTTGAGTAAATAAGGGGCTCAGAGGGGTTCATGGAGCGATCAACTTTTGATGTGCGGGAAAGCAAATTTGATATTCCCCATCAAAGCCCATTAAACCCCCCGATTGGCAAGACAGTCCACGTTTATTGCGTACATCAAAACGCGTAACAGGATCAATGCTAGCAATATATTATTCATGAACCTAGCAAATTGGTCAAGTTGATTAAATTGATTTCTATGAGAAACAACGAAGCGAAGAAAGTTTAGATCAATTCCATAAAAAGTATAGAAAATGGAACCTCAATAGTAAAAAACATGAAGAGATATCAAAATTACATGAAACAACGAAAGGTCGTTTTTCTGTTGTCAGATAAATTGCACTGTACTCCGCGTACCACTTGGCGATGATATGTAGCAATTCGGGTATTTCGGTGCTTAAATGCTGAGCTCATGGGGTTTGTGGGAAAAAAAACAATGGACCTTGAAGATTCTAGAAGCCCCGCAAAGCATGAAGCATTTGTATCCTCAATCATCTAGATCTTAAAGACCACGCCGGGCTCATAAAATTAGCCCAAATCCTCGAGAAGTCTGCCGCTGGGCAATGTTGATGGGAACGCAACAATATCACAACAAGCATGTACAGCGTAAATGGCAACTCAACAACAACCTCCCACAATCGCAGACTCGACAAAGCTAACAGATATCTCATCCGAAGCGCATAGAGCCCAATTAATTGACGCAAAACACCGCGGTATCTGCTCCAGATTTGAACAATCTAGAAAAACAATCAGTACATCGCTGACATCTAGGGAAATGGTTTTGCGGAAGATCATTGGCTCAGGCCCTCTAATGCGTCCGGATTCCCATTTGTCTCAAGACAAGAAATCCACTGCCGCCTGAATGCCATTGTGCCCATGATTCTTAATAGTGATCTGCTTGATCTATATTGGATACGAAGTTCCTCAGAAATATTTCGCCATTTTCTTAAAACACATTCAGTGGTAAACGATGTTGAAACTGCAAGGAATTCCTCGTTAGGGATGCACCTACTATTTCCGCCGCTTCCTTCGTACTCGCCTACTCACACCACATTACCAATGGTCTAACGAGGTTTCCCTCATGCTCTACTTACATGAAAGGAGACAAATTAGCGATCATCCGAGTACAATTTAAGGACCAAAGGCACGAAAAGAGAGAGATTGATTCATAGGATTGCAATAGTGAGGTTTTTCATCACCATCATGATTCCATCTCGAGACTCGGCCAGGATTGCGAAGACATCAAGGTGTATGAGAATATCCTGTCTGACTTGCCCAGTACGACCAACTCACGGTTTCAAATCTAGGAGAGTTGAAACTCAATACAGTGAGGTCTTTTTTGAATCTTGAAATGACACGGACGAGATGAGGGGGGTGACCTGCTGCATGCATGAGGAATAGTAGTATTTTCACTTCTGCTAATCATTCGCAGTTCTCTTCGCTTTTCATCCACTTTATCAACTCCTAGGTTTGCATTTTTCAAGTCCTCAAACGAAATTTACGAGAAAAAGACAGTGAATTGTTGGGATTCAAGATCGCGTCAAAGGAAAAGAACATGTAGCATTTGGGTTCAAGAGGGGTTTCAAACATATCAAAGAGAATTATAACTACCACTTATATACTGTAGGGAATTTTAGCTACCTTCAATGCCCGTTGTGTTTGCCGGTACGGGCCTCGGACAGATTACTTTCGCAACCAAATCCTCTATCGTCTGCTTGATGATTAAACTCAGATTAATCGAGCTGTAAATCGCTACAGTTTGAACCAGCGCTCAAATCCGTAGTTCTCAACTACCATAGATTTTTTGTCGAACATACCTAGCCGCTCGCTGCATCCAAAATACAGTGATTCTGCGAATGCTGCTTTCTATTGAAACCGTTCTCATGGATTTTCTGGTTCTTCAAGCTTTGTCTGAAAGCTGGCTCTAAAATTATTGAATCGTGCCGGTGGTGGAAGCTGCCGCAGTGAGGTAGAAGCTTTTTCTTCCATCGATGGCAAGGTAGTTGCGTGCGAGAAATTGTGAGCTCTGGTTCGATTGACTTCAAGTTGATGTATTCTGATATAATCTCGAATATTCAAAAATTGAATAGTTTGGAAAAGGGAGTGAGGTTTGAATAGCTATACTGTAGCAAGACACGATTCCTCAAAGGTAAGCCTGATTGAAGACTTCAAAGATTGATAAAGCGAATTATCGCGACGATTGACATCTCCATGAATACTGATATAGTTCAATGCTGCTAATACTTAACTACTAACCATAGTTCAAAGTAATTCCTAAAGTTTAGAGAAGAGCGTGTAAATATCTTGATCTCATATTCATGCCAGAAGATCATAGGGCGAAGGGCTTTCAGAGAATTGGAACACACACTGCAGTAATTACAAGGCCGCAAAAAAGTCCCTTCCCCCCCCCCCTCAAAAATGGTAAGAAAAGGATCGTTCTGTAGTCATGGATTAGTAGGCACTTGAGGAGATGGTTATGATAAATACTTGAATTAGTGAAAGTTGTTGAGACAACATCAATTCCATCCATCTTTTTGGTCTTTGTCACATAACCGCATAAGGTTAACCGAGACAACTTACATAAACCAACTGTTGGTGAATTAACGAACGGCTTAGGCAAGGTTACCTTTTATACAAATAAATTATTTTCTGACATTAGAAAGTATTTTTCATTCCACACTACTCAGGTACGACGTGATACCTAGCAAATCTTGATGCTCAATCCCGATATTCCTTTCCATACTCTTTCAATGTCGAAGAGAATGAACTATGTAAGTGCCTCGGCAAGGCGAGATGGCTCAGACTATTATTGGAGCTATTTTGGTATCTCAGATGGACGTCAAGCTTGCAAGCTAGACAATGCCATAATCTAATAATTGTATTGCATCTTCTCCTTTGCCCTCAATTGTTCCGAACAAAATTTTCAATATGTTCTATGGTTTCTTTGGCTTAGGAGGTGTATCCTTCAAACCCGAAAAAGATATTCCTGATCTATCTGGAAAAGTCATTCTTGTTACAGGCGGTAAATTATCTCCCTATTCCACACAAGGATCAACTATCTCTTCCCTTCACTTAATGCTAACTGATTATCATAGGAAACGTTGGCTTAGGCCTCGAAACTATCCTCCAGCTTTCCAAGCACAATCCTTCGCACATATATCTCGCTGCGCGATCCGAACCTAAAGCTACCGCCGCAATCAAAGAAATACAATCCAAAGTACCAAATGCCCCAATTACGTTTATTCATTGCGACCTTACATATCTCCCATCAGTTCAGGAGTGTGCCAAACAATTCAATATCAAAGAGTCCCGTCTCGACTTATTGTTCCTAAATGCGGGTATCATGGCGGTACCAGCGGCAACTACGGAGCAAGGCTATGAAATACAATTTGGCACAAACCATGTTGGACATGCTCTTTTGACGAAACTGCTTCTACCCACATTGTTGAAAACAGCAGAGCAGAAAGATGCAGATGTGAGAGTTATCTCCTTGAGTAGTTTGGGTCATACATTGGGTCCTGTTGGGGGTATCAAATTCGACGATCTGAAAACGGACATGAATGGTTATACAACAGCCTCTCGATATGGACAATCCAAGCTGTCAAACATTCTTTTCGCTAAAGGGTTGAACAAGAGATATGGCGAGAAGGGTATCACAGCTGTATCGGTTCATCCGGGAGTAGTCAACACAAATTTGTATGCGACGGCTTTGGAGAAATATGGGGTGTTTGGAAAAGTCGGTGGATTAGTAAGAGATTTGGCTTTCACAAGTATGGCTGACGGAGCAAAAAATCAACTCTGGGCTGCTGTAGCAAACAAGGGTAGTGCAAAAGGCGAAGTTTTGAAAGGCGAGTATTACACACCTGTTGGAATTTCTGGCAATGGAAATAAGTACGCAGGAGATGAAAAGCTGGCGGATGAGCTGTGGGAGTGGACAGAGAAAGAGTTGGAGGCGTACAATGCTTGACTTGACTTTTACTGATCACGACACCCACTATGGCTTATCTTGACTTTTGTTCATATGCTAAAGTGATCCATTTACTGTATATTATGATTTTCTGTTTCTGTTTCCTAACTTTATTTTCCTACACGGGTGCAACTTTCTGAGTGATTATTAGCCTCAAAAATCTTTCCAAAAGATATGATGGGGATGAGATGGTAAGATCTGCCATAGAACAATCACATCTTGCTAATCTATCATGTACCTGAAAATACCTCTAGTATTGATGCAAGTAATATTTTCCAATTAAAGAAGATTCAGGTATTGCCAGCGCAAATTTCATACCGAAGATCTATCTTCGTGTTGATCGAATCAAGTACTTACAAGTCTCGGGCCATGTAGGCACCATGGTGAATGAATCTACGATGTGGTCCCCGGATACAGAATTAAAGCTCACGTCAAGGCAGTCGATATTCTTGCTTTGATCCTGGCACAGTTTCTTGACCCCCTGATATATAATTTTGTATCCAATCATTGTATATGCACATGCATGACCAACTTCAGGCCGGACCATCAAATAATGTCTGCTCTAAAATTCAAAATAGGCAAATGGCTCGTTCCAATCATATCGAAAACCGTGGTATGCTTACTCACTTCACGAAAGAATTCGTATGTAACGCTGTGTGATGACAACTCAAGATTAATGCGGAGAGAGTGAGCGAAAGTGGATAGGACGGCAGTGTGATATGTTTCTGGAAAGATATTTGAGACTCAATCGATCTTTTATTAAGTCGAAATTGCCCGTTGAAGGACCCCCAAAATCAGTCTAGAATTGTGGGAGAACTTTAGAGTTTTGTTCAGAGAGAATGTATTCATATATAGGCCGAATTCAATTCTTCCTCTTCATCCTTATTCACGGAGCGAAGTGCCATGGCATCTGGACGTCTCTTAATCAAACCTTGAAAGGCCGGTTACATATTTCGCGACCTTTTTCATATCCATGTTTTTCGATCTATGAAGGCCAGAGAGTTACTCCTAATCAATTACAATGCGCGGAAATTCAGCATAACTATACATCTTCGGAATATCGAACTCAATTCTACAACGGATTCATGAACAATCAAGATGAGATTTGTTTTACTAATGTTACTGACCAATGTGTTCTCAATAACATCCTTCCAGCCGACGCAAATGCGTTCACAAATGTCAGCTGTAACCAAGGAAGTATTTCAGAGTACTATGTACAGGTTGAGGAGGTTTCTGACGTTGTGGCCGCTCTTGAATTCTCTAAGAAGACCGGAATAAGATTGTCCATAAAGAATAGTGGGCATGATTATCTCAGTCGTAGTAGTCGCAAGGGATCTTTGGCTCTTTGGATGAGAAAAGTATCAGGGATGAGTCATGAAACATCTTTTGTACCTAAAGATTGTGATTCTACTCCAGTCAATGCCATCACGACAGCGGCAGGAGTAAACACAAATGACGTTTATGAGTTTGCAGAAACCCAGAACGTCACATTCATCGGAGGTTATGCAACAACAATTGGCGTAGCCGGAGGCTGGGTACAAGCAGGTGGTCACTCCGTTCTCTCACCGGTTTATGGACTAGGAATTGACCGAGTCGTTCAATACAAGATCGTTACTACCGATGGTGTCCTAAGAATCGCCAACGAATGCAAAAACTCGGATCTTTTCTGGGCCTTGAGAGGTGGTGGTGGTGGAACTTTTGGGATCGTAATGGAAGCTACCCATCGCGTTGAGCCAAGAATTCAGCTGGCTGTAGCGGCCATCTCGTATAATCGTACATCATCTAATGTTCTGGAATGGCTATCTATCATAGTTAATAATTCTTTACCATGGGCGAACCAAGGCTGGGGTGGACATTATCAAGCTGCCAATTTGATAAGTGTGTCACCACTTCTCAGTCTTTCCGAAGCAGTCGAATCAATGGCTCCAGCCATGAAATTTGCGACGGAGAACGGTGGAACTGTAGTTATTGAAATGCTTTCTTCCTGGTATGAGTTTTATACGAAATATGTGACACCCAATGAGGCCGTTGTTGGCGGTCTTCACCCACTCGCTCCTCGACTTATACCGGCATCTATATTCAATAGCACAGAGGGCAGATCGAAGTTGATGGGTTTTCTAGAACGTCTGATTTCTCTTGGGTACTCGCCCTACATTCCCAACACTACGCCATGGCTCTATCAGTGGGATCCTGCATCGACATCCTCTACGCCAGCATGGCGGGATTCTATTTGGGAACTTTCATATGGTGGAGCATGGATATTTAACGAAACTTTGGAGCAACGAACATTCCAAATTGATCTGGTTAATAATCTGACCGCAATGGTAGAGGAATTCACACCGACAGGAGGCGCATATTTTAACGAAGCTCATCCATGGACCAGCGATTGGAGAGAAGCTTGGTGGGGCCTTAAAAACTATGAGAGATTGGTTGAGATCAAGAAGAAATACGATCCTGACAATTTGTTGACTTGTTGGAAATGCGTGGGATTTGATGAGGAGAACGCAGCAAAAGATTTCCCTTGTTTGGATATATGAGCCGGATCTTGCATGGTTCTAGATATAGAGACCTTACAATCTTTGGGTATGAATCTAGACATACAAATGAAGGATGGACAAAAGGTAATATGTTTGACAAGACCGTTTTCAATGCAGAGGCCCCGATGAGAATTAGCTTTCAGATAATCTCATATGAGAAAAATGAAGACTGGACTTTGTTAGCTCTAAACAATACAACGCTACTAAGACTGAGGCTAATAAGGCTGAGACTGAGCAAGCTTCTGGTAAAAAAACAGATGGACGAATTACTTGAATTTTACTAAAAGAGACGATATCATTTAATTCAATTTCTAGGTAGTAGGTTAGCCTGAAAACGTAGGAACTTGTTCTATTCAGGCCCTGACAAAGAGGGAAATAGGTATCCATACCTAAGTACCTAGGTACACCAGTAGCAGGTGGGTAATAATGTAAGCAAGCAAAGCCAGCAACCCCGCATTTCTTAGCCCCCCCCAAAATAACTTCCCCCCAAAATAACTCCCCCGCATAGTATTATCTTATTAGCTTTGATGCCCTTGGAGCTCCACACCTACCTAGCAACTTATCAATCACAACTTTTCAACAATTCAGGAAATTTAACTATCATGGCACAAAAATTACGTTTAGCAGTTTCGCAATCTCATACACTCTCTACAACATCTGCCACTCTTGCTGCCCTCTCTAAAATAACAGAACAAGCTGCGACAAAATCAATTGATTTAATCCTATTTCCAGAAGCATATTTGGGAGGTTACCCTCGCACAGCAACATTTGGCGCAGTAGTCGGAGCTCGAGATTCAGAAGGTCGTGAACAGTTCCTACACTATTACAAAGATGCGGTCGATTTAGGGGATACACCAGAAGGCGCAGGAAGGAAATGGGTAAATAAAGAACTCGAGGCTAGAGATGACGGAAAACGCGGAGATGGCACAAGAGAGGAGCTGGAAAGAATCGCAAGAGATACTGGTGTATTCATTGTGACAGGACTAGTTGAGAGATGTGGTGGAAGTTTATATTGTGGTGTTGTGTATGTTTGTCCAAAGTTTGGAATGATTGGAAAAAGGAGAAAGGTTATGCCGGTATGACATCTCCCCTTTGTTGTCATTATGGAGAGATTGGTCGTCTGCGATAAATACTAATGGTGACATAGACTGGTAGCGAGAGGCTCATATGGGGTCAAGGACAACCTTCCTCATTGAGAGCGGTTACAACCACGATCAGAGGTGTGAAACTTACGCTTGCGGCTGCGATATGCTGGGAAAACTACATGCCTTTGTTACGACAATCCCTTTATAGCCAAAACGTCAATTTATATTTAGCCCCCACCGCAGATGCAAAGGATACCTGGCTACCATTGATGCGGACAATTGCATGCGAGGGTAGATGCGTGGTATTAAGTGCGAATCAATGTATGAAGAGATCAAGTCTTCCAAGCTGGATTACTGGAAATAATAAAGAAGACGCTGCTATTGAAGATGGTCATGCGGAAGGTTGTAGGCATGCTCAATCCAAATCAAGGAGAAAATCCATCCTGACGGATGATGGATGTGAGATTGCACTTCCCCAAAGGATAGAAGGAATACCAGAAATCACAGAAACTCCAAAGAAGGATACGTCTGATTTCGTATGTAGAGGTGGTTCGTGTGTCATTTCGCCTTTGGGTGAGGTTCTTGCGGGTCCGATATGGGAAGATGATAATGGCTTACTCTCTGTTGACATTGATTTTGAAGATTGCTTGAGGGGCAGATTGGATTTGGACGTCGGTGGAAGTTATTCAAGGCATGTCAAAACCTTTAAGTTCTGCTATCTATAGGGCCTGCTAATAAGTTCAAGGAATGATGCTTTCAAACTTACAGTAGAAGGATTGGATCTGAGCCCTCCACCCTGATATTGGCTGTAGATGGCATCAGCAAGATATATTAACACAGCAATGGGGATCATCGGTATTGGCACATCTTAATCTACTACATGTGGTATGATATTCAGGGTAGGGTAATCACATTGATCTGGTCCTAGGGTAATCAATTTGCGTGGCTCGAAATTGGTTCACCAGCCACCAGAATACTCTTTCCCAGAGCTCACCGTTGATGATTTAGAGTATGCAAGTCATGGGTAGTCCATTTCCAGAGAATCTTTTATGGCGTAGCCAGCATGGCAAGCAATATCATATTATTCTTGATTATTCCTGACCTCACTGTGTTACTTCCGTATGTTCGTTTGTGTAATTGACCACTAAAAGGCAAGGAATATATACAGTATGGTAGTATGGTACTTTAAGATCTATCATCGCATGTCTGACGCCCAAAATCTCAAATTAGGCAAGGATCGCGCTCTGTTAGATGTGTTTATCCTTGTATGATTTGCAAACAGGGTTTCGGCACATCGAAATCATTGGTATTTCAAAGCTGTACTTCGTAAAGCTAGTCAATTATTGGGAAGATTACCGAATATGGAAGCCAGGTCTTGGTGTTGTCTAGACATGATGCACCATTTGGCGTCCACTTACGCAGTAACGTACTCGTCGTGCCTGCCACTTTTTCAAATTTTACAAAGTATTCTCTTCCAAACTATTTTTATTTATTTAGCTAAATTCTCAAATTATCTTGGAACTTTCACTGCCTGGATAATCGTGCGTCAGCCTCAAAGTCAATTCTGTCGAAAATCAAGTACTTTGATCAAGTGTTTGAAGTTTGGCTACGTCACATAAAATCATCTGTAGCTGAATACCTAGTACGGAGTACCAACGTAGGCTACCTAGGATATGATGTTTGATCTAGCGATGTGGCTAACACTGGTTTAATGTAAGTTGATTATTCTCTATCTTCTCTACGTAGTACTTTGACATAAACAGAGTGCAAAGTCCCTGCGGAGTAGGGGATATGTACGCAAAACAAGTGAAATTATTTTCAATCTGAAATTAACTATCGATTATCACACTGCACTTGTGCCATCCGTGCTCAATCAGCTAGCCAACTGCAGAACTAATTCTGTCCAAAGAAATCGATTTGATCCTTTCTTTCGGTCTAATTAACCCTAAGTCTGAAGTTAATCAATCAAATCGTGCAAGTGCGAGTGCGGGGGTGACGAAGCTCAGTATTGTTATTATTGAATTGAGAAAAAATTTGGCGTAGTTATTTATTTACTTCAATCCACATCAATATTACATCACGATCAAAACTCTTCTCGAGAAGTCATTCATACATAGAAGTATATTTGCATTGCCAAAAAGACTCTTGTTTTCATTTGCTTTTGCAATGGCCTTCAAGATGGTCAGTATTATGTTCCGATTCAAATCTACATTATGCATCTGGGTCAAATATGCAATTGCTAACTCAACAACCTCATAGTCTTCTTCTCAAACTGCAGGATCTGGAACATCTACTACTACATCAAGCTCTGCATCTAGTCTTGTTTCCACTTTGATACCTGTTGCCGCTCTTGCTGTGGTATATATCATTGCCTTCTTGGTCCTTCGCGCAAAATATTTACGCGTCTACCAACCTCGAACTTTCTTACCAACACTTCGCGAGGATGAAAGAACATCGCGGTTATCTGATAGCAAATTTGGCTGGCTTGCTCCCTTCAGAAGTATACCAGATGAACATGTTCTGGACCATCAATCCCTTGATGGTTACTTTTACCTTCGATTCTTCGGATTGTTGACCAAGATATGTTTTGTTGGTTGTTGTATAACTTTCCCCATCCTATTTCCGGTCAACGCGACTGGTGGTGGTGGCCAGAAGGAGCTTGATATACTATCTTTCAGTAATGTAGTTGATAAGAATCGATACTATGCCCATACATTTGTTGCATGGATATTTCTCAGTCAGTATTCCTCGTACTAGTCTTTCGTTTTTCAGGTCTCTCCCACGTTTGCTCGAAAATCTGCTGACAAATTAAGGTTTTGTTATATTCATGATCACCAAAGAAACCATGTTCTTTATCAATGTTCGACACAACTATATGCTAGCCCCATTCAATGCGTCCAGAATTTCATCCAAGACTGTCCTTTTCACCTTTATCCCACAGGAACATTTGAGTGAATCAGCATTAAAGGAGGCTCTTGGAGGCGATGCTGTTGTTGCTCGTATATGGATGGCTAAAGATTGCGAGAAGCTTACGGAGAAAGTAGAAGAGCGAGATACCGATGCAATGAAGCTGGAAAATGCCGAAATCAAACTAATCAAAGCCGCAAATGATAGACGCCTTAAATGGGAAAAGAAATGGGCTAAGGCGGAGAAAAAAGGAAAGCCAAAGCCAGCGCGAAAGAATGTGGATACCGAGGCTGGACTTGTCTCCGAATGGATGAAGAAGACAGATCGACCATCGCATCGTCTAGGGAAGATACCATTGATCGGAAAGAAAGTTGATACCATTGATTGGTCTCGAAACGAACTTCAAAAACTTATTCCAGAAATCGAAAAGGACCAAGAAATTGTAGTGGGCCAAAACGGGACATCACTCCCTGCTGCCTTTGTTGAATTCAGATCCCAATTTGAAGCCAATTATGCGTTTCAAAGATTCAGCGCAAAAAACCCCACCAAGTTGGACCCAAGAGCTATCGCAGTCAAACCCCAGGAAGTCATTTGGAAGAACCTCAAAATCAAGAAAACACAGAGAAAGATGAGGGTCATCGCTACTGCGACATTCTTGACTGCTATGATTATCTTTTGGTCGATCCCTGTTGCTGTTGTCGGTGCTATCAGCAACATAAATTATTTGACTGAAAAGGTTCCTTTTTTGTCATTCATTAATGACATCCCAAGTGTTATTCTTGGTGTCGTCACTGGTTTACTTCCCTCAGTTGCATTATCAATCCTGATGGCCTTGGTACCCATCGTCTGCAGGTGGATGGCCAAACTCAGCGGTGAGGTGACAACACCGGCCGTGGAACTTAAATGCCAGAATTGGTATTTTGCATTCCAAGTCATACAAGTATTCTTGGTCACCACATTCTCATCTGGAGCGGCAGCTGTGGTATCCAAAATCATTGAGAATCCTTCTTCAGCTACCACATTACTTGCTCAAAGTTTACCAAAAGCTTCCAACTTTTTTATATCTTACATCATTGTTCAAGGTCTTGGAATTGCAGCTGGAAATTTGATCAACGTTGGCGCTCTGGTCATGCTAACCGTTGGTGGTAAATTCCTTGATAAGTCACCAAGAAAAATGTACAATCGATATATTACATTGGCTGGTCTCGGTTGGGGGTCTTTATATCCGAAGTTTGCTTGTTTAGGAGTTATTGGTATGTTCATGCAGCCCTGGCAAACAGAATGTTGATTTCTAACGATGAATTAGCAATCTCTTATTCTTGCATCGCACCACTTGTTCTCGGATTTGCAACTATTGGGTTCGCAATCGTGTACCTTGCCGTCCGTTATAACATGTTCTTCGTTCTTTCCAACGACGTCGATACTCGAGGATCTGCGTATGCTAAAGCTCTGCAACAATTAATGGTCGGAGTGTATATTTCCGAAGTCTGCCTACTCGGTCTATTCGCCATCAATACGACCATAGGTCCAATCGTTCTTATGGGCGTTTTCATTTTCCTGACAGCTGTTTACCATGCTGTGATGCGCCATGCTTTAAAGCCTTTAACTATGTACCTTCCAAGGTCCACTGATGGTGATGATCAGGTTGCTTTATTCGAAACGCCATCAAACAACACTCACGAATATACCAAGTCTGCACTCCCACCCACACAATCCGAAGGTCGTGGAGAAGATGCCAAAAAGTCCAAGAAGGCCGCGATCCTTGGAAAATTGTTTGATCCAAGAAAATTCAAATCACACGCGCGTGCCAAGAAGTTTGTGACTAGTCGCGAGGAGCTTCCATCGTATGAAGAAGCTGTTGAGAGTCAGGCTTACCTTGATCCTGCTATTACAAGCCCCCCGCAAACCTTATGGATCGTTAGGGATGAAATGGGCATTAGTCAACACGAGGTTGAGGCTACGAGTGGGGTAATCCCAATTAGTGACGAGCTTTCAACCTTCAATGAGAAGGGGAAGGTTGTCTGGAATCAGGATACAGTATTGCAGGCGCCAATTCGGGAAAAGAGAATCGATTATTGATCGTCAAGCTCATCATTAAGCTCTGTATGATGCATGGTCAGAAACATGGAGATATCACAACACGTAATGGTGAGTGAAATGATTTGGAAGAGTGTGATGATGAAGTTTTATGCTAGGAGAAGATGGACATACCCAAGTGATTATTGTTAGTGTTTGTCTGCTGCGCCATCTGCGTATGAATAACGTTTTGTAATTAATTATAATTTTATCCCTCGTCTGAAGTTACAACTGTCTACACAACTTTACATTTCCCATTCAGAGTGACTCATTTTACCTGACTCTCTGGTACCAATCTTACGCAGCTATTTTGATCCCGGTCATAGACAAACGCATGGATCTGACAGTCCCATTCCTTCATTGCTCGCTGAACACTAGGTTGCTGTCTTAACCATTCTACTTCCGACAGTACGTAAAGTTCCGTGAAATGACGATTCCGTGATTGAGGTGATTGAGCAGGTGGCTCGAGTGCGTCAGACTCTTGATGAAGTTGGATGATATCACTGGATGTGTTAGTGGGATTTGTGTTGTCATAGGACTAGAAGTGAATGGAGAGGAGTGATACGAAGGTTTAGGAAGAGAAGTGGCACGTGAATCTATCTTGGCAGTATTGGGGAGAATTACCGATACCAATTGTTACTATCGCTTTCTGATTCCTCAAGCAGATGACAGTCATAGTGGCCGCATATTATGATATGCTGTACCTGATTCCAATGACTTTAGTGTTCGAGTTCCACTATAAAGCAAGCTTTAACATACCTTTAGAACATCTACGGCCCATTCAATTGCACTTCCACTGCTTGTATCACCAACGCTCACACGGTTTCCTAAGTTACGGTGGACAAAGATCTCGGATCTCTTAACATTTGTGAGAGCATCAGTTTCTGATACCAGGGAATCAGAACACCCTATCCAGAGTACAGTTTCTTTTGGTTCTTGGGCATTGGTAGTTGAGTCCCGGGAAGGTGGAGGCGACGGTGGAGAAGAGGCTGATGGATTGTTGAATTGGAGTAGATTGGCTGGAACAGATTGAACAGAGTAACGGAGGGAGGGGAGTGGAATCGTCATTTTCACGAATTTCTTTGGTTAAAAGTTTGATTGGAAGATGTATATTCAGTTCAATCAATGTTTCCGAGAGAGAGAGGAAAGAATGTAAAACTGTTACTTTCATTCAACTTTCAATGTATACCTATGCAATGGTAAGTGATCACAAGACAGTGGAGATTCATCATGTTTAGAAAAGGTTAGACCATAAAAATGAGTCCCTTAGCGGCTTAACGTGGGGTGACTTGTTACAAAAATCACGCCACATAGCATGCAGTATGAAGCTTAGTGAAAAGCTTGTTTTTGTCTCTTCCAGTAGAATTGATGGTGAATTTTGGAAAAATGGAATCTAGATGATATATATGATAGGATTGGGAAGCAATTCGAGAAACGATATCAGGCTGTGTAGATCTGTCTCGATAATGGCGGAAGAACAGAGTACATTAGACTTCTAGCTGTGTGTTACACACGCTATGTAAAATTCATTTGATCGAGATTCCACACCTATCATAACATATCACCAAAGTACGAAGTAGAGTGGCTCAGAGTGGGAACGCGATGTGTGAAACGACAATATGTGTTGTCGATGGTTCATGCTTCGATATGGGAGGATATAGCCTGAAATTCATGCAGACGGCAGTTAAGTAATCAACCTCCTTCCACCCTACTTCGTATGGACATGAATAACTCGCTCTTAATGCATGGGGAAGTTGATCGTGTCGCCACCTGGAAGCTCCACTCTACAATGACCACTGAGATCAATTATTAGGAAGAGCTGACTTCATGCATATTTGATGGTATAGCAGGCCAAGAAAGCGACAGATACTGTGCGTGTTGTGCTTCTAGCAACATGTAAGGCTTTGATGCGATTGTCTATCACCACCAAACGCGATTCCATACTAGGGAGATATGACGATACTACAAATCAAAAGTTATGAGGGTTTCCAGCTTGATCCCCACATTCTCACTACTAGGTAGAGACAGAGTTGTTTGAGTATTACTTGGACCGAATTGGTGTTTTTGAGAAGTTACCTAGAGTAGTATTCAAGTAGAGAACTTGCGGACTTACTCGACACTCACGACAATTGGGGGCTAAATTCGCGGGGTAAAGTGCTAGTCTTCTTCTCAATCATAAATGAACCAAATATCTAGAGATCACCGGGGAACATTCCAATTTGCTCGATGACTGAAAATTGAGATGCTTTTCCATGTTTCCATCTACTCGTTTTTCAAGATCTGGTTAGAGAAGAGACGTAGTTGATAATGAGGATGAAGATGTGATTGCTGATGTGACAGACTGTACTCCGTATCCGTACTCTGTGCATCAACAACTATGTGGGGTGTACCTAGGTGCTAAACTTATTTACACCTACCTCACTGAAAGTCTAATAAAAAGGTTATTATCACTGGACCTACGATTGGTACCTAGACATCCCTCATTTGTAAAACCAACTGGTGAACTCACCTCTTTCCTATTCTCGACTTACCTTATCGTCGCCCATTCGTTGCTGACCTTTCTTGTCCATTGTGATGTAAAAAATCTTCCAATGGATTGCCACATACATTAGAGGAACTCAGTCGCACTTCACTTCAGAACGAAATTTGTCATGATGGGGCTTTCTACGCTATTGCGACATTATTCGCAAATTCAATCAAAACTTCAACTACTCATTGCCATTCGCTCTATCTTTCTACCGCAATGACCTCTCCCTCTTCTGATGAGATTTTCGATAATTGGAGTGGAATCAAAGAAGATGATTTCTCCAAAACAATGTTCGAGACATTCGGACTATCCAATGATGACAACTATCTATATCGCGCCGAATCATTCGCCATGACATTATCACAAATTCAAGAAACTACTAGTACGGGAAAATTAAAGTATCACTACCAAGACAATGGCAAGGTTGTTCAGGTAGGCCATTTCTATTCACAACTTGCAGATTGATGTTGACTGACTTCTCAGGTACCACTCACAGACATCGATGCCTATACTTCGATATTCTCTTCCAAGACCGATACATCTAAAGCTCTAGTAGCATTCTCCTCCAACGCAAAGAAAGGTTCACCTCGAGAATGGGTTGCGAATTACCTTCAATCTCGCCGAATTGCTCCTCCATATAAGATACCGAAAGCCAAAGCACACATAAATCCATACTATGAGATCTGGGCTCACACATGTCGGATGGTATCTTTCCTTGGACCACTTCCTGATGCACATTATGCGAATCCTGCGGCCGCCAAAATGACCCATCCTGTTCTTCCTGTTCTTTACCATCATTTTGGATGTGTCGTACCATCTTACGATTCTCTTTACATAATATCTCAACTTGTGGAAGAGTCAAAAGCCGATGGAGTTATTGATATGGCAAGTGGAAGTGGATATTGGACATATATGTTACGCCGAATGAAGGTAAAGGTCAACGCTGTTGATAACATGGCGAGTGAATATAGAAACATGTGGATACCTGATACTGAAAAGGCAGATGGGGTGGAATATCTGAGGAAGAATGCTGGAGGAAAGAACAAGGTCTTATTAATGGTATATATGATTACAGCCGGGACATTTACGAAACGGGTGTTGAACGCTTACAAAGGAAATACAATTGTGGTAGTGGGAACACAAAACGCGAATCGATACACAGGATTTAGCGACTGTAGTATGGAAGAGTGGTTTCAGAAGGAAATGAATGATTGGGAGCTCACTTGCAGGATTGCAATGCCAAGTTTCGCAGGAAAGGACGAAGGTATGTTTGTATGGAAGAGAAAGACTTTATGAGGCTTATGAAAATTGTTGAGGGCATGGAATTGGGCAAAACTTATGGTGGATCATGATGTATGATGGGCTAGAAATGTATTCATCTCATTGGGGCATTCCATTTGATACTGGTATCGATTACGCTTCTGCGATGAACATTTGGGTGATCCTCGAACCTTTGGTATCTGTTTAATGACTTTTCTGATCTGCTGTCAAACAACTTGCAATGAAAGCTGGGGCTCTTTTTTTAGAACCTAAAAGATCTTTTAGTTCGAGGTTGAACAATTACATTGCCTGAAACAAGTGTTGGGCATGGTAGTCATTCATTGGTGGGCAATGAATCTGTAGGACAGTTAGTATCGTCTCTACCTGTATTTCAAGTGGTTCTGGTTAATGATTTGGTACGCGAGAGAGAAAAAAGAGCTTACTAGTTGATGTGAAAGATACTTTGGAGAAATGAGTGTAGCAGGCGACGGGGAGAGTGATGTTTACTACTTGGACAATATGAAATAAGGGGTTGAAAAAATTGCTGATTTTTATCATGTTGATCGAAGGGTGATAAGGGGAAGGATGGTTTTGTGATTTGGGAGTCATTCAAGATCATCATGATATGCTTACGATTTGCCAATGAATACTTGTCTTCCTGCTTCATTCAATCTACGCTTTTTTCCTCATAAGTATGGGCCTGCTATATTACTTCGAACTCGACTCATTACTAATTCGGTCTACCAAATTTGAAGTTCTCAATATGTTGAATTAGGCTGAATGGTATACCCTTCAACTTGACACACCCATTATCAAGAATTCTAAAATATCAAATAGATTTCTGTGATTTGTTCCCATATGATCGATCATATGCATTCAATATTGTCACTGTAACTGCGTGAATAATACTCATGCTGACGGCACTCGCACATGTAATGGGGTATGGGAAACTGGGGTTGCGATGGAAAAGAGAGAGAACAAAAATATGGAGCCTGAAGTAGGCGGCAGAAGTGCAGCTGGTTCATTACTGGGAGAAATTGGAAGATGACGGGGGCTACTAGGGCTATTTGATAGGAAGACATCTTGTAAGATCTTGAGCTTGTCATAGTGTGATGGATCCTTCAATCAGGAGTGGTTTAATAAACATTTTTTTCTTTCTTCTTTTTCTATCGAGGGATCAATCATTAAAATTGGTAGGTGGGGTTTGGGTGAATTTGAAGGTACATGAGTGGGCGGATAAGAAGGAGTCAAATCCATTTGGAAGTATATTCTTGTAAGATCTTACAAAACTATTGAAAGGGAAGAGAACGGAAGATTAATCGATTAGGCGATATAAGTGGTCAATTACCTAGCAAGTGAATCGATAAAATATTAGATTTTATATACGCGCGGTTGATATCGACGACGATGAGAGTTTTGGAATTGAGTGAAGGGCTACTGGAAGAACTCAAGTAGTTCTAGCGATAGTGATAGCTTGCTTATCTATCTGGGCATTCTCCAGCCTTAGCTGAATAAACACAACAGTACAGTTTGCATTTGGAGTTCAAGCTTTATCGAGTAAGCATCGGATAAAGTTCAGAGACGGAACATTCCACAGAACAAAGTTGAGGCTGCTATTCAGCTATACCCGATCAAGGGAATATAGCAGAAGTCAGAATAATCTCAATCTTACCTTTGAAGCGAATGGCAGTGGAATCTTAAATATCTAAGAAATATGCGCCTTGTTTTTTGTATGTTACCCTTGACTTGGTCGACCTGAGTACTTCTGCCTCAAGCATACTTAGACTAGCACCTAAAACAGTATGCGAATTTTATCCGAACCCCTACTTCAAAGATCAGTATACTTATACGTATTACACTTCATCCCTTCAATGCAGCTTCAAAACAATCTTCATCCCTGCATTAATATAGCCCTCGACATAAATTCGACGTCTAGCAAGGCCTAGTACACTTCTGATAAGTTCAATGGAAACATTTCTGTGAACGAATATGGCAAATAGCAAAATCTCATCTTATTTATTCTCAGGGCATGTCTTCTCATCAATGCGGTACAGATGTAGTCCAGCCAACATCCTAGAATACACTAACCTTCAATCTTTTCAATCTTAAAGTCTCTATCAAGGTATAAAAGTACGGAAAATCAAATGAAGCACAAATACAATCTTGTTGACTCCACACTCACACGACTCCAAGAATTCCTGGCGTCAATTGTGGCTCCTATGGTCGTTTGCTAAGCGCCCTAAGTAGCGCCTCTGATTTCCTGGGCGAAAAGAACTTATAGATATATCTGCTCTAATGACATGCGCCACAGTACTCATTATGCGAATAATTTTTTTTTGATCAATCTTACGTACTTAATTCCGATAACTCAATTTTACAAAAGATACCGCTCGCCCATTGATTTTCGTTTTTGTTCTTCTCTCCCAATTCATCCCTCTCCTTCTGTTACTACCTTCTCAGAAAGCATTTCTCCATCCAGTATGGAATCCAGGATGAGAAAACGAGGATCCCAGCAAATTGAGAGCACTGGGTCTAGTGTCTTTATCTCTGACGATTCGACCCTGCTGCAGAAAACCAAGACGCGAGTACTGCTTCTCTTTGAGGAACTCCCAGAGTGGGCAAAGGATAATGAGTATATTCTCTCCGGTTGGAGACCTGAGACAAATTCCTACTGGGAATGCTTCAAGAGCATGGGATATATCCACAACGAATCAGGCAACATATACACTCATTTCTTCGCAACCGTATGGATGGTTATTTTAGGGTCATGGTGGAATGGATATGCAAACGAGTGGTATCCAGCTACCAATTCTGATGATGCCATTATTTTTTGTCTTTTCTTTCTAGGCGGAACTGCCTGTTACATTCTTTCAACAGTTTACCATCTATTTTCAAACCATTCGCATGCAACTTATCTCCTTTGCTTGAAGCTTGACTTCCTCGGAATCCTTGTTGTCATTGCAGGGAGTTTTCCACCAGGACTCTGGTACACTTTTCCATGCGCTTCACGCCAATTGAAATTTACATGGATTGCGGTAAGTATCATTTCCATAATCACGTTGCTCTTCTATTGAAGGCTCTATTTGCGGGCGTCAGAGTAAATCGTCGAGCTATTCAGCTGACCAGCTTGTACAGGTTGACCTTATCGCTCAATTCTGCGCCGCCTTGCTAGCTCTTTTCTCGAAATCCTTCCAGGCTCCCAAAATGCGACCCCTCCGTGGATTAGTATTTTCTTCTATGGCATCTTCGGCATTTTATCCTATTATTATAAAGATTTCGCAAGTCGGCTGGACGCAGGCGAACTCTGAGTACGGAGCTTCGTTGTACGGCTTTGCTATTATCATCTATTTATGCTCTGTAACAATTTATGCAGTAAGCTCGTTTTTCTCCCTAATTGGAGACTCGTGATTTGTTAACATCGTTGACAGCTGCGAGTTACAGAGGGCTGGAAACCTGGATACTTTGACATTTGGGGCCATTCCCATCAGCTATTTCATGTAGGTATAACAATTGGCCTTACAGTACATTTCTTGGCCTTCTTCAGGGCCGTTGATCAATTTTACATTGTTAAGCATGGCCAATGCCCAGATTAAGGACTTCGAGTAGTTGAATACAATTATTATTGTGTTCCTTTCGTTACAGATATACCTGTCACTTTCGTGTGACTTCTAGGGTGTTCAATAGGTCAGGTCAGACTACAGCTTAACAATCAAACTCCTTAATATGTTCAGCACCTTGCAAATTGTTGAAATAGTTTCAGCTATTGAGATTCATTCAATTGTCGAATTGAATTAGAATAATGAATGTAAATCGTTTTTTGTTGTCCAAAATAGCTCATAATTAGATCAACATTGGCAGTCGGAGAAACAGTATGGTTACCCCACTCATCACCTAACTCCATGACGTAGTTGGACGTACCATCGTTAGGATACCAATGGGGCAAAGTATCATTAGTGTACGCTCCACCGGTGTTAGGGTTACCAGTTCTAATAAAGTTAACCCAGTAGCCAGTCATCAACTCGCCGATGTAGTAATCTTCATCAGTGAAAGGATATTTGTCAGTATTGGCGTATAGTGCATTCAATGCGTACATAATTTCACTTTGATGGAAAGCACCCTGATCCTGTCCCGGTGGAGCATCTACAAAGGATAATTAGTGCTGATTTCTGAGCTTATGGAGCAATAGAGAGTACTTACGGTCCCAGTAGTAGGTGTAGATTGGGCTTGCGGCAGACTCAATCCACTTGTTTGCATAAGCCCAACTGCTGACAAGCGAGACATCTCTTTGAGCGGCGTTCCAAGCCATGTTTGCCAGAGTAACATTGCCATCTGCAGGGTAAAGTTTGAAGTATTCGTCGGAGAGATTGCCCCATCGGAGAGCGTTGTATTCTTGGTATTCGGTGAGATTATATAGGGTAAGGGATGTAGAGGCACCGCTCTCGTCTTTGGTGTTTCCGGTGATAATTGGGACATCGTTGGCGGGACCTGCGATGAGTTGATCCAAGTATTTCATCGGGAGAACGTAACCATCGAGGACAGGCTTGAAGATAAGGGGGTCGTTGCATAGCAAAGCAGTAATATACCAGATCCTAGAGTCTCGATCATTGGATCCTTGGATGACATCTGACAGAGGCAGTTCACGGAGTTCCGCAAGAGTACTAACGTTTTGAGCAGCTGTGTAGTTCACACCGAAGGCTAACGCTCTCTCCATAGTGATGTAAGAAGTAGCTAGACCGGCAAGGAGTGTATCATATGGATATCTAATACCGGACTGGGAGATACCGCGGTGGAAGTAACCAGTAAAAAGTGGACTGTTGACTGCATGGTAAACTTGTGATGAACCGAAAGATTCACCCGCAATTGTAACACTGTCTGGGTCACCACCAAAGTTGGCAATGTTGTTTTCGATCCACTTCAAGACTTCAAGTTAATCAAGAACGCCGTAGTTGCCGGAAGTGTTGTAACCGGTGGTAGCGAGACCCTCTGCATTGAGTTCAGGAGTGGCGAGATAACCCAGAACATCGTCACGACGATTGAATGTGACCATGACAACATTTTCACTAGATTGGAGTATGTCAGTATTTATTCAATACAAGCAATGAAACTCGACCTCTACCACTATCTGGAAATTTTTCAGATATAGAAAGTTTGCTCGAATTTGAATCTTAGCTCGTGTCAATTGTAGAGAACTTACTGGCCATTCCGCCACCATACCACCAAGAATTGTCACTCGTCTCCTCAGAACCCTGATTCCAAAGCAAGACTGGGAGCTTGTCACTGGAAGAGTTTGCGTTAGTCCAGATATTAGACTTAAACAATCCTCGCTCACATAGCCTGTTGAAGCGCTGGTAGGACAAGCAGGGCCGAAGCTGGTAGCTTGTAAAGTTTCGTTCCATAACTCTCTAGGTTGGGCTGGCTTCCATCGGTTTTGGTAGCCAGTATCAGCGGCATAAGGAATATCTAAGAAGGCGGCGACATTACTGGAAGAAACACCGAAGTATTCTTCACTGACATTGGCTGTGAAATACTTGTATCCTTGAACAGGACCCAAAGTGGTTTGTATTGTTTTGTTGTAGAGCTGTGCATTGATAGGAGTAATTGTCAAAAAAGCCGAGGTGACCAAAGTCACAGCAAATTTGGAAGTAAAGAACGACATGATCGATTGAGTCGTCTCAAGATGAGCGATAATTAGTACAGAATGTAGTTGTAGATGTCTGGCTAATCAGCTGTTGAACGTCCTATTGATCTCTATTTATGTCATAGATCTGCCGCTCCATTGGAGGTGCCGCGTAGGCTCAAATGAACGTGTAGCTACATCCAAGTGAACACTTACGCACGATAGATGAATGACAAGGGGGATTTTTAGTCTTTGGCGCCCCACAGACGTTGCAGCAGTGCCACTTATGGCTTTGAAATAAAATATCCATCCATGAGCGTGGGCGACTTGCCATTGCTCACTGTCTACAGACCAACCTATTCTGATTCCAGACGGATATGATACTCGTTGCCTCCATTTATATACTTCAGCTCAAACAACTACAGCAGGGAAGCCGCTCATGGTACGCTAACCAGGTAAAATCTATAGGAAAGAAGGTGCTAACCTAATCTCACAGGATATTTGCATTTATGTAAAGTATTGTTTATCACATCAATTACGCTTGTTACAGAATTTGGGGTTTCGGGACCGTGTCGGAGGTTTCTTAACCACCGAACATGGATCTCGCCCGCCAAGCCAAGAATTCCTTTCAAACTGTAACTGCCGTGTACTATGTATGTATGCTCGGCAAACCAAGTTGAACGTAGTGTCGAAAAGGCATTTGGAGAGGTATATCAAGCTTTTCTTACTAAAAGATACGCGTCATCTAACGTTCATCGCATTCGGACCCGATAGCTCAGAAACTTGTTTTGACATACTCTATTTGGACATCGTATTAGTGATAGCAGGTGATATCGTCCTATTTATCTTGTGAAAAACTTAATTTGGGGTTGTATTCTCACAAGGAAATAAAGTTCAGCGTTTCTGCGCCATACGCTACAGCCAAAACTCTTTAAAATGTAATCCAAGAACGTTCTCGAGTTGATAGCAGTAGTTCATGTGATATGCCTCTGCAATACTTGATTTCATCATTGAGTTTCTGAAAGATTCAATTTGAGAAAGTCAATCTCATTGTCTGCAGATAAAAGTAATAGTACCCAATGTCAAGTCTCGATCGTATGCCTACCTGATGATATAGGAATCATGAAGCCGGGAGCTGATATCTAGATATGTACTAGGGCGAGTCCAGGGAATTTCATGTCCAGCTACATGCCTCGTTGGAAAGAAAAGTCATACAAAAGGATTTGGCCTTGAGAGGGAACAGTATCACGCGGGTAGATGATGAAATTCAACAAGATTAGAGTGGAACGGAAGCCCCATCCTTGATTCTCTCTTCACAATCTTGCATGCTACACTCATGCAGCTCAGACATGATAATCATATAAGGTAGACAGATGTAGGGCATTCATAAGAACTTAAGAATAAGATTAATAGGTTACAAAATATGTGGCGCATAAAGAAAGAGAAAGTAAAGAGAGTTGACCGATTTTCTCCCTTGGACAACCACGTAAGACGAAGAAGAAAACAATTGACCCAAATGCGTAGAAAGCTAATAGTATATACATGATACGTAAATGATAAAGTGGCTTGACCAGCTTGAATGGTAGAAATCCTGTCTAGATGCATTTATGTCGTCGCCTAATCCTTGGGGAGAGATCCGAACCTACAAGGAGAACCTTAATATATGATTTCTGAATGCTACCAGGGGATGGAATATGTTTATCTTGACTTCAAGTGTACGCTGCCCACTCCCCCCCTCACTTGTTTCCAAAATTTGACTATGAGGAAGGCTAAAGCCGCAATCCCCGGCACTGAAATGTGATGATCATTACTTGGCAGATCGATCACTTCCTCTACCTACCCATGAATTCGGCTTCGAGGTCGGTCAGTGTCACCATTTATACGGGAGTGTGTGTCTTTTTTCTTGGTCGAATGCTTGCTAAGTGAATGGTCGGTACTATAGAAGTTGACCCCATCCTTCATTTTTTTCAATCGCTTGGTATCACTGAAGTTCTGAACAAGACAAAACACTTGAATTTGACGTGTTGAGTCTGTAGAAGTCTTCTGTGGTAGTATAAAGCTTCTATACTCCTAAAAGAGTGCCCCGGTTGATACCAGTTCGACTAATTCAGTCTCTGCTTACCAATATTTTCCTCCATGGTATGGCTATACTAAGTCTCAAATGAAGCTTTTTTAGCCACGCTGAAACCCTATATTTCAAAAGTTCGAACTATTATAAACTCTGAACGCAGCCTCTGTTCATTGGTCCATGTTGCTCGGTATGCATGGGTCTGGAGGGGATAATTCCAATCCGCAATTCTCAAAGCTCTCCTTGATCCGCCAACACATGATGTTGGATTCCCGTATCTAATTTCAAAGAGCTCGGTCGCACTCTCAAGATCGGCAAGAAGTCGACCCCCCCTTATTTCTGCCCGTTAAATGTCTCAATCGTCCACAAACATGCCACCTCGAATTCACTTGCGTGATATCGCAGCCCTTCGCCAGCAGATCGCCTCGTCTCTATTGTTGGGATCTTGCACTTCTTATCGATCGGTAATGTGCACAAAGCCCTCTCGAATCCTGAAAGTTGGTGACATATCCCTCGTATCATTCCCGCTGTTAGATACCAGCTCGTCAGACATCGCCATCAGCAACGACACGGCAATGATGCCGCGTGATGAGACAATAACATTACTCAAGCCGGGTATCTAGCTGTAAACACATGATAAAGTTCTTCGATTATAGCCTGAAATTTTTGAATGTCATAATATGGTGTAGGTGAGATACTAAAACTGGAATTGAAGATTGATTTGCTCAAATAAACATCTTCAAAGTAATAAATGTGGTAGGTAAGCTGGGCAACCTGGCTGGGGTATTCATGTTTGGACAAGCCGACCGGTTATGCAAGGCTGATCGAAGTGCAGACGGTGATCTCCACACTCAGAAAAACCGAGAAACATATTGGGTATTCGAGGTATAACGTGGTTTAACAGTGGCTCGGCCATATCAGTAAGTCGGCCACCATTTTTACATACAAAATACGTCTGTGCACAACCGTGCACTTTCTTTATTTATTGATATAATTTTCTAAAAATCTAATATTAAATATTTGATTATATATAGATTATAAAAATCTAATTAACTGTTACAACGGATTAGTAACAGGCTGTAGAATCACTGACTTATAGGCTATAATGGTATTATAGGCCTCAGTGATTCAGCTGTAGTATACCGGGGGACACTGGGCACCCAAGGAAAGCCTTAGGCATGTATATAGTATTAGTTATAGAATACTTTAGGAATCTAGAATATAATTCTCAGGATAATAGGTTCTAGAAAAGACAGAATATAGTAAGCAAGAAGGCTTTACTAAGATTAATAATGTCCTAGGGGATTAGGCTTCAGAACAAAAGGATAAACTAGGATAACAGGAATTACGGGACAAGTGTTATGTAATCAAAAGCTAATCGACTTATTGATCGATTTGCTGATTGATTTGTTGATTGATTTTAGTATGAAGGTTTATATAGGTGTCACGGCGCCAACTACATGATCTGTAATTGCCTTCGTACCTCAGGCACAGAATACTAGCGCGCCCTACTTCCTATAAGTAGGGCTTCACTCTTCCATAGCTCTTCTATTCTTATGATACAATATAAGTCTTTACCTGTACTATAACAATTTGTATTATTATCAAATAAGCTATCACAGCTTTATTTCCCATTTTATTTCCAAAGCCCTACCAACACCTTATCCCGATCGCGCTGATCGCACCCACCGTTAATCCATTGTACACCCTGTTGCTAATGTTTTGAGTCTTAAAAAGCGCTAAAGATAGGTAAACAAGTATTTATACCAGAAATACTTGCATCTGGCTTACCTTTATAGTTCCTTTTCTTGAATTACATTCTCAACTTTATTAAAACCAATATCTTTCCCTTTACAGATCTATTCAATAATCTAAATACTATATACTTCGCCACCGCTTAAGCTGTATTTGAATTAATCAAATCGATTACGGGCTTATTACAAACCTAAGCTACCATTACTCAGACTTAAGCCATTGATATTCAATCAAAGATTGTTGAATTGAAAGATATAATTGAAATATTGAAGATTGTTATTTACAATAATTTGCAAGCTTTATCTTATCACAAATATCTCATTACCCCCAAAAAATTCAATGATAATAAACAAGATATCACAAAGTATTAAGATTAGTATATGATTTTTCATAACGCAGTTAATTATTGCTTAATCACAAATTACAAAAATGAATCAGAGTTTCAGAAAATCATATTTCTTGCTAGCCTACTTTCTGGCCCTACTTATATAAACAATCAGATACACTTTGATACAATTACAGATAATGCATATGATTCCGACCTTTAGCCCTTTGAATAGTATATTATAATAAGCATTTGACATAAATTAAATAAGCAATACCAGACTCTAGATCTCTCACACAAAGCTTCCATGGATTACAATAAATGTAAAATGAAGAAGACCCTATTTAATAACTTTATTACCGAATTCAAGCAGTTCGCTATCAAATATAAGAAGACTATTGAATAATAAATCGCTGATCTTAAACTCAAAGTTTTATAAAAACTAATTGATGCTTTAGTTAACCACCCTAATAAATCTTTTATTATTGATATCAACACATAAATAGTCTAATGGTAAGGTATCTACAATAATTTAGAGGAGAAGATTTATCTTGATAATCAATTGTGAAGGACTGTCATAAAAGAATTCAATTCTACCTTAGAATCTAAAACTAAAGAAGGAAGAAAAGAATAAGAAGAGAACTGTAAGGGCTCCGGACTATATACACCAATAAGTCACATGCTAGGCTAAGGTTCTAGAAGCTAAGTAATTGAGAAAGGAATCTGAAAGAGATTGAATCGTTACATTATCTCCTTGTCTGAAAAAAGCTTGCCCTCGAGTGCTTATCTATTTCCTTATCTCCAATAACATCATTATACTTATCATTACTATCTTTATAGTGTTTCAGTCATTGAGGTAATGCCTTAGGTGGGCCGGGAAGGTTTTGATTG